ATTTACATTTCGTACAATTCCGTTATTAAGTAGTTTAACCTGGATATCTACATTTATCTATGTTCACATGTTAACTTGATGTAAATATTATGTCATTAGGATTAGTCCATTTTCATGTAATAATGTGAAAAAGTATAAGAGGCAATACTATATAATGTAACTGAAAAAATATAGCGCAACATCCACCTGTAGCGCAGCATCTATCACACATTGCACAATATCATTATGCTTTCCGAAAATTGGGTCATGGAAGTGTAATATTATTATGAATGGGTAGATTTCATATTCGATGTTCCTTACGTTACTTCTTGCAAAATTTAAAAATTTTGCAAAATTACTAGATAGGGATAGAGATAAATTAGAAAATGATAGGAATCAAGTTGTTATTCAGTTGTTGAGTGAGCACTCTCTGGATAGAGCTCGAAAAATATTCTTCGTAACGGGCTATTTAACTGATAACTGATTTGATAGGCAGAATATTCAAAAGAAATATAACTATTTTGATATGTGATTCCTGGAAGCACAGAATACAACTGATACATAAAAGAAATAACACACATACACATGCACGTATGCACTCACACGTAATACTACTGTGATCAAAAACAAAGGTGAATTTGTTTATAAAATGAAAATCTTTATTTATTCTACCAAATCAATTTCATCGCATTCAAAGTACTCCCCGTCCGACACAATGCACTTATGCCAACGTTTTTCTAATCCTCGAAACAGTCAGAGAATTCCTTTTCCGGGATGGCCTTCAATACTTTTTTCGATTCGGCTTTTATCTCCTCAATCGAGTCGAAACGGTGTCCCCGGAGCGGTCTTTTGAGTTTGTTGAACAGCTAGTAGTCGCACGGTGCTAAATCAGGCGAATACCGGTGGTTGTGGGACGATATGGGTCGAATTTTTGGCGTTTGAAAGTTGAGTGTTTTTTGGAACCAATCGAGATTTGACGGCGTTTGAGGCACAAAACATCTTTTAAAATGGTTTGGGTTGATCCAAATGAAATGCCCGTAGCATCAGCAAGGTTCCTAATTGTCAATCGACGATTTCGAACAGCAAATCTTTGATTTTCTTGACGTGGCTTTCATCGGTAGATGTTGATGGTCGTCCGGGGCGCTGTTCGTCTTGAACTCGTTCTCGGCCTTCTTTCAAGTCTTTGTACCACTTGTAAAGATTTTTTTGCGACATAGCCTTATCACCAAAGGCCTTCTGCAACATCCTCAACGTTTCCGGCAAATTATTCGTAAGCGGCAAAATATTCATTCCGCAAACAAAATTTAATGCAAATTTTTTGCTCAACAAAATCAGACATAGTAAAAATCGAAAAACTCACTTTTGTATGTTTACAAAAACACGTATAGCTCTGTAGCAATTGAATATATTGACATGAAACTCTGCATAGATGTCAAAGATAGTGCTACCAAACCACAAAAAATAATTTCATGATTTTAAAGTACCCGCGAAGTTTAAATGAAAAATTCACCTTAATTTTTGATTACAGTAATATAACTGTTATAAATTTTAATTTTGAAGTTTCTTTGTTTATTCTTATAACATAAGATATATTTTATAAGATAAATGTGTTTTGAAGCTGTTATATTCCTTTGTTCTTATTGCTTATAGCAATATATCAGCAGTATAATTTAAATATAATATGTTGAATTACAAATGCGTACGAGTTTTGTTTTATATTTATCACATACAACAGATTATACAATAATATTTAGGTCGACTCATCCTTTAACCAACATTTGTTTCTTGTACGTAAAATATAATGAATTATCGCATATGAATACCGTGTCGTCGGTATGACAAAACTTGTACAAATTTTCTAAATTCTTGTATTAAGAAGGTATATAATTTTTAATTACAATTGCAGTACGTGTTTAGTTTTATATTTATCATATGCAGCAGATTATACAATAATATTTAGGTCTTTTATGCTTTAAACAACATTTGTTTCTTGTACGTAAAATATTATGAATTATCGCATATGAATATCGTGGCGTCGGTATGACAAAACTTGTAGAAATTTTCTAAATCCTTGTATTAAGAAGGTAATATAATTTTTAATTAATGATTATTATTTTTTACAACAATAACTGCTACTTTCCTTGCAAATATCGCGTATGTTGACAGTAGTGACTAAATTACAAATGCGAATTAATCAAGAATGCCATAGTATTTTTATACCTTTATATCTGCTAAGAACAATATATGTAACACAACAAAAATATATAAAAGGACAATAATATGTAACAATAACAATACATAAAATGTAACAATATATAAAAATATAAAAATATGTATATTTATATTATATATATATAAAACTATATGCAAGATAATAATCTATGAAAGAACTACAATCATTTTGAATATTCCGCCTATCCGAGCAATGTAAACAGACCGCTTCGAAGATTATTCTCCGATGGTTCTCCGTTCAGAGAGCGCTCAGTCAATAATTGCGTAAGAGGTTGATTCCTATCATAATTGATCATCGTTTGTAAATCTATGATTAGTGGCTCGCAACGGTTACTTCACGCGTTTCTCTCATTGGAAAGTGTTCAAACTGTTTCGCACAGCCGAATGTACCTGACGCGACCTTCCTGTTTGTATGATATTTCGCTTTTGGATATTGTGAACAGCATAAATACCAATAATTTTAAACAATAACTTGCGCAATATAGAGAGTGCATATCGAAATTTGTCTTTTTACAAGATATCGGTAAACGTCGAGACAGGGAAAAATAAATTCGGACAACGCGGTTACGCAAACAGATTATTGAGCCTAGGCAGTTGAAATTTTAACTCGAAATTTCACATTGAAAAGGGCAAGATTATGACTCACATATGTGAAATTTGCAAGAAAAGCTTCCCTCTGATTAAAGAGTTGAAACAGCACTACAAGCAGACTCACAAACGTGGCTTATACAAGTGCGAATATTGCGACTTCACATCTAACGACAAGCATGACTTGAAAAGGCACGTGGAACGAAAGCATACGGATAATTATGCATACACGTGCCCGGGCTGTAATAGAAAGTTCAAAACTCAGGAATATCTGGACAATCACATAATAAATATTCATTGTAGAGAGGTAAGCACAGCTCGAAGTCTTACCGATGTGACACCTGCGACATAAGCTTCCCTTCGATGCAAGAGTCGAAACATCACTTCAGTGATATACACAAGCAAATCATGTTTGAATGCTATTATTGCAAGGAAATATTCGCCAGAAAATGTAATTTGAAAGATCACATTGGACGAATACACATGGACGATATCTATGCGTGTACTGAGACCGGCTGTGATAAGAAATTCAGAGCGCTGCGAGATCGGGATAAACATATACGAGATGTTCATCATAAGAACCAGGAGGAGAAGAAGGAAAGCGGTAGTCCGCAACCGGGACCGTCCTGGAAGAGTGACACTCCCATGAGCGGCAAACATTCCAAAAAGAGCAGCAAAAAGAACGTAAGAGCGCCTTACTCATGCAATATCTGCAAAAAAGGTTTTAATAAGAAAGAAGAGTTGAAACATCATCTCAGTGCCGATCATGGACAAGATATGCTCTGCTGCGAAACATGCGGTTTCACATGTAAAGACCAAAACTCATTGAACGAACACACAATACGGAAGCATACGCATGAGCACAAATATATGTGTGATGAGGAAGGCTGCGGCAAGAAATTCAAATTGAAGTCGGATTTGACGAAACACAAAAGGCAGAATCACTCGAATAAGCCGTACACGTGCAAAAATGTGGTCATGTAAGTTCTAGTTTGTCAGAGTACCGTGCACACAATTCACGCACTTAAAAAGAAAGGTAGCCTGTCAAATCTGTGGGAAGAAGATATTCAATAACAACTTATCTGTACATTTAAAGACACATGGTGAGAAGACATTTGCTTGTTCTACCTGCGGTAAGAAGTTTCATAGGAGAACACAATTGCAAGGGCACATGTTAACTCATTCGCATCAAAGACCCTATGCCTGCAACATTTGCAGCGCGGCGTTTATGGAGCGACAGGCTTTAGACAATCACAGGAGGGACGAACATCCCGATGCATCTCCAATCGAATAGAACGAATCGATATCATACATATATTGTTGCAAAATTTCTAGAAAAATCAAGAACATTCAGGTTGCCAATCAGGATTAAAGAAGATATAATATGTACGCGACGAAACAGTTTGTATTTAAGTTTACATACGCACACACAACAAATACGCGCTTCAACACACACATACTTAAACACACACACGTACAGATACATAATGTTCACGGTTGGTGAATATTTCAAAACAGATTTCATTATAAAAATATATATTCAGCAATTTTTAAATTGTGATTTTGTCCTTGAATGTCTGTTCGTAATAATCCTACATTTTCTATATACTCTTACATGTATGTGTGTGTGTGTGTGCATACGAGTGCGTGCACGCGCGCGTAGATGTATGCACGCACGCACATGCTCACACCCAGTTTTCTGTGTAAAATAATAAGAATAAATATATAGAGAAGTATATAGAGATGAGTTGAAGGATGACTATATGACGTACGTTATACATATGTGTTTTACTTGTATGTTGAGCTGAGCATCATGTTGAAATTTTATTTGTGTTTAATAAGATGAAAAAATGTCATATTGTATTTGTAATATTTTAAAAATAATCTAAAACGTTGACACACGTGAATATTTACATGTTCCAGTAAACACGAATTATGACAGTGACAATTTTATCAATGTCATAATATTTCACTTAATAATGTAATTAATATTCGATATTCCACTTAATAATAATACTTAATAGTAATACTCTGGAAGAAATTTCAGTGTAATATGTTATAAATTATAGTTATCGTTTAGCAAGGCATTGTGACATTGATATTATTTTACTACAATAGTTTGTCCTTTGACTGGAATATATTAATATACATATTATAATATACATATTATAATATCGATATGTTGATATTTATGTGTTACGTTTATATTTATTCTTAGCTACATTCCATCTTTAACCGTATATAATTATGTACATTCTCTCGAAAAATTAATTCTGTTTAAAAAGCAAAAAGAAAATACATTTAATTTTTATGATTGATTACTAAAATGTGAACATACATTTGCTTTCATCAAATCTGTGCAATAGCATTCTCCCGTTATGAATATATGTAATGATTATATGTATACTTATATTACATGTAACCTCAAGTAACCATGTAAAATCAAATAACGGGCACATTACATTAATATTCATCTGTTCATTCAATAATGTAATTGTTATTGCAACGTATATTTTATATTTATATTTTATTACTATTGAATAATATATATAACACTATATTATTATACATTCATATTATTAAATGGAAAATTAAAACAATGATTTGATATTATTGCTGACTCGTTAGGTTATTAGTATTAGGTAGTGACAAAGTTCATAAACTATAATTTTTATCTAGCATATCTGCGGTATTTTTTGCATCGTGTTTCTAAAGATATTCATCTTGCTGCGGATTTTCCTATCGTTTTTGGACTGAGATTTCAATAAATCTATATTTTAATATATTTTTGTTATATTCATTAATTCTTTGCGTGTTTATGAGAAAACCGGCGTATTAAATAAAATTTGTATAAATATTCAAAATCCTTGAATCCTTTCCATTCAACGCTCTGAAATATTTCATAACATGTCCATCATCATTGTTAAGTCTCCTCTACAACATTATTATGATTTTTCGGAGTCAAATGTCCGACTTATGTGCATTGGATTACTGGCTATCATAATGAGGCTTCACCAATCGACTATCGGTATTGGGGCGAGAAAAATGATCATGTCGCATCAATATTCGTCATATATCGACTGTTGTTACGTTGTATGACATTTCTCTCAGTAAATTATACTGCTTTGATTAATGCAGTATTATTACACAGAAATAATGTACAGTGTCGCGCAAAAATTTCGAGCCATAGTGTCTTTTTAAGATACATGACAATATATTGATTTGCTCTAAAAATTAATTATATAAAATAATTGACATAACATTCTTACAAATGATAGTACAGTTACAAAATTTTGAAAGTACATAGTTTCTATTTATTTAGTCATATAATATTTAAATGTGTTCAAAAGTATTGAGCCGTATTCTTATTGTGACTTTATGAGCCCGGTTTGTTTACGTTTCTTATGAAACTTCTTCGTAAATATTTGCTTTAACTAAGGTTCAGTTTATTGTCTACCGCAATGCCGAAACATACAAGCCTTCAGTTACGCGAAGCCGTGATTAATCTTTCTCAGCAAGGAAAGGTTTCTCGCGAAATTGCTTATTGCTTATTAATTGATAAAAGTATGGTAAATAGGATTATTGCTAAATATAAGTTGACGAACTCTTTAGCTGATAAATCACGAAATGGTAGACTTCGCAAAACTACAAAGCGCGTCGATAAAATGATTAAAAGAAAGTCGATAGCAGATGTTAGGAAAGCTACTCAGGATATTTCTCGAGAACTACGAGAAGAAAATCTTGCTGATGTAAGTCGAAGTACAATATCTTGACGTCTAAAGGAAGGAAGTAGGACTTTTAGGACGCGTTGGTGTAAAAGAACCATTAATTAATGCAAAAAATAAGAAAGATCGGTTAGATTTTGCAAGGAAATTTGAACATTGGACTGAAGTTGATTGGCGAAAGGTACTTTTCTCTGACAAGTCAGAGTTTCAGTTATTCGGAAGTGACGGTAGAAAATATATACGATATTCAACAGGCACAACATATAACCCAAGATATCAAATTCCTACCGTAAAACATGGTGGAGGTAACGTGATGGTTTGGGGATCATTTTCTTATAATGGAGTTGGTCCATTGGTTGAGATCATATATTGACACAGCATATGCTGCCATATGCAACTCGAAACATGCCACGTGATTGGATTTTCCAACAAGATAACGATTTCAAACATTCATCAAAACTAATAAAAGAATTTTTCATCATGAAAAAAATGCGGGTTCTTGACTGGCCCTCGCAATCACCGGACTTGAATCCTATTGAGCATTTGTGGCAAGAATTCAAACTACATACAGGAAATAAGATACACTCCAATACAGCTGAATTGTGGCAAGATTTGCAAACTCAATGGCAAAATTTTCCTCAAGATCATATTTCTAATTTAATAGCATCAATACCTCGCCGTTGTGCTGCTGTGATTGCTTTTAAAGGCATAGCGACAAAGTATTAAGTATAATAAACGTTGATAACACTTTCTGTTATTATTTTTCAATGATATATTTTCCTTATGCATAAGAAAACTTTTTGGCGCAATACTTTTGCACCGTTTGTAATAAGACGTCGTATAAAAATAAAGTATTTATAATTATTAAGAGTTTGTAAAATTTATATAATCGTAGGATAAATAAATACATTTTGTTTATATATATGTGTAAAGTTTTTAGTGCTCATTATGAAATGAATATATAATAATACTAGGTGCGCAACTAAGTTTCCGGGTTTCACGTATGGATGGCGCTAATGACACATGTAGTGGACATACATGTCTGAAGTTGTGTTTTTTTCATAGCTTGGACATCTGTCAACAATAACCAATCGTAATACCAACACATATCGCAACGCAAAAATATTTTTTCTAACAAGGAAGATGTTGAGTTTTGTGCCAAATAAACAGCTTTTGCGGGAAGCTTTGCTTTTCTCCTTTAACTTGAAAAAAAGTGCAGCTGAAGCACGTCGTTTGCTTGAGGAGGCCTACGGCGAGCATGTACCATCGAAAACTACCTGTGAAGATTGGTTTAAACGCTTCAGAAATGGTGATTTTGACACTGAGGACAAAGAGCTCTCCGGAAGACCAAAAACAATTGAGGACATCGATTTAACAATAACCAGCGTTATTGGATGAAGATGATACGTAAACACAAGATCAACTTGCGGAGGCATTAAACATGACTCGCCAAGGTATTTCCAAACGTTTACATGCCATGGGAAAAATTCAAAAGGAAGGAAAATGGGTGCCGCATAAGTTGACTGAGAGACAGATGAAAAATCAAAGAGCCACTTCCGAAATTTTGCTTCTGCGGCATGAAACAGAGTTTCTTGCATCGAATTGTTACTGGCGATGAGAAGAGGATATATTTCGAGAATCCCAAAAGCAAAACATCGTGGCTTTCACCTGGAGAAGCATCAACATCGACGGCACGACCAAATCGGAATGAAGACAATGCTCTGCGTTTGGTGGGACCAGAAAGGAATCGTGTACTATGAGCTGCTGAAAAGAAGCCGGGCGAAACTGTCAATGGGCATCGCTACCGACAACAACTGATCAATTTGAACCATGCATTGCTCGAAAAACGGCCAGAATGGGACACGAGAAAGGCACAAACGAGTGATATTGCAGCACAACGCTCTGTGCTATCGTACTTCCCTCGTCCAGCACACTATCAAAACGCAGAAATGGGATCTGCTACCGCACCCGCTGTATTCGCCAGACCTGGCCCCTTCCGATTATCACTTCTTCCGGTCGATGGCGCATAGCTTGGCTGGGCAACATTTGGCCAATTTCGAAAAAGTACAAAATCGATTGGACGAATGGTTTCGGTCTAAAGACGCGTCGCTTGATCGTCGCGATATTCATGTATTGCCAGAGAGATGGCAAAAATGTGTAGCTAGCGAGGGACGATACTTTGAATAAACCATTTTTTGTATTTCTCTTGAAATTTTCCATTTTTCATTTATTAAGAAAACCCGGAAACTTAGTTGCGCACCTAGTAGTTGTACGGTTCAAAACTTTTGCACGCTGTAGGTGTAGACAAAGAATCGAAGTGTACTTATTATCCAAAAATTATATTTACTGTGATTCATCAGTTGGAGTGTATACTTGAGGCGCAACAAACATATTTCGAAAAAGACGGCACAAACAATTGACTTTCGATATTTCAAATGTCAATTGTTTCTGCCGTGATTCGTGAACACCAGGTCTTTTTCTGCAGTCACGTATCTATCTCGCATAGTGATAAACCGACAATGCGATATACTTCACAAGAATACACGGAGATGATAGTAGCCTACGGGCTAGCGGGTCGAAATGAGCGCATCGCGGCTTGGGTATACGCGGAGCAATTTCCTAGGCGTGCACATTATCCAACACATCAGACAATTCTCCGTGTTATGCAAAGATTGCGTGAAACGGGATGTCAAATGCATAATCCGCCAGATACGCCAGTGCGTCGTCGTCTTCAAGACGAGGAAAGAATTCTCTACTCTTTCTACGAGAATCTCGGGAAAAGCGTGCATCGTGCGGCGCGGGAACGCAATTTATCGTATCAAACGTGCATCGCACTTTACGTGTACATCAGTTGTATCCGTATCATTACCAGCGGGTGCAACAGCTGATACTGCGGGATCTGGAACATCGGATATTTGCGACTTTTGCGAAGGTATTGTCATTAACTTTTTTTATTCGCGGTGATTTGAGAGTATAATAATCATTGAAAAACATACTCAGTGTTTCTCGCGAAATATCGGCGGAATAACTTTTTTCTTGACAATATTCTGTGAACCGACGAAGCTATGTTCATACAAAACGGCATATTTAATTCTCGTAATAATTGATATTGGTCCGGCGAAATTCCGTACATCGTCCGTGAAGGCGGATTTCAGTACCGTTGGTCCATCAACGTATGGACGGGAATAATCGGGAATCAAGTGGTAAGTAGAAAGTAAATAATTTTTCTTAGTGTTTAAGTGAAACGTTTTTTCGTTCGTTATTTCCAGATCGGTCCACATTTCCTCCCGCAACGTTTAACTGGCAGGATTTATAGACAGTTATTAGAGAACGTGTTGCCAGGGCTTCTCGCAAATGAGCCATAAACGTACGAGCGTAGCTCATTTAATAATACGACGGAGCACCGACTCATTTTTGTCGCAGAATACAGGAGATATTAAACGCACAAATTCTAGACAAGTGGATGGGTCGTGGTGGCCCAATCATCTGGCCGGCACGTTCATCAGATTTAAATATATTAGACTTTTTTGTGTAGGGTCATATAAAAAGTTTATCGAGCACCAGCGTAATGGTACAGAAAACGAGGTATGTGAAGTTATTGTTGCGGCCTTCGGTACTATTACGGCGGACATGGCACACGGTGCGACGCGCAATATTGTACAAAGGGCTGAACTCTGCATACGAGAGAGAGGACGGCACTTCGAACAATTCTTACATTAGATTGTAAGAGTGGATTAGGCATACCAGGGAAACTACTATAAAAGAAACGCAGCAGGGTATCTACCGCAAGGTGATATGGAAATGATAGTGCATCACTTTCTTATCGCCTTTGAAAAGACGGGACGGCACGATGTCATATTTCTTCCTTATAGCTGACTGCGCGCGCTGGCCTATCAGTCCTTCGCTGACTCCGCCTGCACCACATGTCTACGTGCTTACTGCGGCCGCCCTCCGTTCTCTACAAGCTCGTTGGCTCACATGTTTTAATTAATAATAACTTGATAACTATTGATAATTTGATATTATGGTATATGACTTTTCTTCTCGGCTACACCCAATATATCTTCAACATTCATCTGTATGATAAGCTTTCAAACACCCTGCATATGTAATAAATATATTTTAAATTAAAAGTATATCTTCTATACCCTTTTTTGACACATTACATTTTGATAGTTACATATTAAATTTAAGGTAATATAAAAATAACAAGTGAAATAGAAGAAAAGACTACACACCCTACAGCAGCTAGATTCGAATCCTACTTGACATTCTATGTTTAATTACCTCAGTTTTATTATGGAATAACTTCAAGGCTGTCAAGCAAACGTCTGAGCAAACGGGAATAAACGGATTAAATATTTTTAGATTTTTGTCAAATCTGTAATTTACATTTCGTACAATTCCGTTATTAAGTAGGCTAACCTGGATATCTACATTTATCTATGTTCACATGTTAACTTGATGTAAATATTATGTCATTAGGATTAGTCCATTTTCATGTAATAATGTGAAAAAGTATAAGAGGCAATACTATATAATGTAACTGAAAAAATATAGCGCAACATCCACCTGTAGCGCAGCATCTATCACACATTGCACAATATCATTATGCTTTCCGAAAATTGGGTCATGGAAGTGTAATATTATTATGAATGGGTAGATTTCATATTCGATGTTCCTTACGTTACTTCTTGCAAAATTTAAAAATTTTGCAAAATTACTAGATAGGGATAGAGATAAATTAGAAAATGATAGGAATCAAGTTGTTATTCAGTTGTTGAGTGAGCACTCTCTGGATAGAGCTCGAAAAATATTCTTCGTAACGGGCTATTTAACTGATAACTGATTTGATAGGCAGAATATTCAAAAGAAATATAACTATTTTGATATGTGATTCCTGGAAGCATGGAATACAAATGATACATAAAAGAAATAACACACATGCACGTATGCACTAACACGTAATACTACTGTGATCAAAAATAAAGGTTAATTTGTTTATAAAATCAAAAATCTTTATTTATTCTTCCAAATCAATTTCATCGCATTCAAAGTACTCCCCGTCCGACACAATGCACTTATGCCAACGTTTTTTCTAATCCTCGAAACAGTCAGAGAATTCCTTTTCCGGGATGGCCTTCAATACTTTTTTCGATTCGGCTTTTATCTCCTCAATCGAGTCGAAACGGTATCCCCGGAGCGGTCTTTTGAGTTTGTGGAATAGCTAGTAGTCGCACAGTGCTAAATCAGGTGAATACGGTGGTTGTGGAACGATATGGGTCGAATTTTTGGCGTTGAAAGTTGAGTGTTTCTGGAACCAATCGAGATTTGACGCGTTTGAGGCACAAAACATGTTTTAAAATGGTTTGGGTTGATCCAAATGAAATGCCCGTAGCATCAGCAAGGTTCCTAATTGTCAATCGACGATTTTCGAACAGCAAATCTTTGATTTCCTTGACGTGGCTTTCATCGGTAGATGTTGATGGTCGTCCGGGGCGCTGTTCGTCTTGAACTCATTCTCGGCCTTCTTTCAAGTCTTTGTACCACTTGTAAAGATTTTTTTGCGACATAGCTTTATCACCAAAGGCCTTCTGCAACATCCTCAACATTTGCGGCAAATTATTCGTAAGCGGCAAAATATTCATTCCGCAAACAAAATTTAATGCAAATTCTTTGCTCAACAAAATCAGACATAGTAAAAATCGAAAAACTCACTTTTGTATGTTTACAAAAACACGTATAGCTCTGTAGCAATAGAATATATTGACATGAAACTCTACATAGATGTCAAAGATAGTGTTACCAACTCACAAAAAATAATTTCATGATTTTAAAGCACCCGCAAAGATTAAATGAAAAATTCACCTTAATTTTTATTACAGTAGTAAAACTGTTATAAATTTTAATTTTGAGGTTTCTTAGTTTATTCTTATAACATAAGATATATTTTATAAGATAACTATGTTTTGAAACTGTTATATTCCTTTGTTTTTATTGCTTATAGCAATATATCAGCAGTATAATTTAAATATAATATGTCGAATTACAAATGCAGTACGTGTTTAGTTTTATATTTATCATATGCAGCAGATTATACAATAATATTTAGGTCGTTTTATGCTTTAAACAACATTTGTTTCTTATACGTAAAATATTATGAATTATCGCATGAATATCGTGGCGTCGGTATGACAAAACTTGTAGAAATTTTCTAAATTCTTGTATTAAGATGGTAGTATAATTTTTAATTAATGATTATTATTTTTTACAGCAATAACTGCTACTTTCCTTGCAAATATCGCGTATGTTGACAGTAGTGACTAAATTACAAATGCGATTCTATCAAGAATGCCATAATATTTTTATACCTTTATATCTGCTAAGAACAATATATGTAACACAACAAAAATATATAAAAGGAAAATAATATGTAACAATAACAATATATAAAATGTAACAATATATAAAAATATAAAAATATATATATTTATATTATATATATATAAAACTATATGCAAGATAATAATCTATGAAAGAACTACAATCATTTTGAATATTCCGCCTATCCGAGCAATGTAAACAGATCGCTTCGAAGATTATTCTCCGATGGTTCTCCGTTCAGAGAGTGCTCAGTCAATAATTGCGTAAGAGGTTGATTCCTATCATAATTGATCACCGTTTGTAAATCTATGATTAGTGGCTCGCAACGGTTACTTCACGCGTTTCTCTCATTGGAAAGTGTTCAAACTGTTTCGCACAGCCGAATGTACCTGACGCGACCTTCCTGTTTGTATGATATTTCGCTTTTGGATATTGTGAACAGCATAAATACCAATAATTTTAAACAATAACTTGCGCAATATAGAGAGTGCATATCGAAATTTGTCTCTTTACAAGATATCGGTAAACGTCGGACAACGAGGTTACGCAAACAGATTATTGAGCCTAGGCAGTTGAAATTTTAACTCGAAATTTCACATTGAAAAGGGCAAGATAATGACTCACATATGTGAAATTTGCAAGAAAAGCTTCCCTGTGATTAAAGAGTTGAAACAGCACTTAAAGCAGACTCACAAACGTGGCTTATACAAGTGCAAATATTGCGACTTCACATCTAACGACAAGCATGACTTGAAAAGGCACGAGGAACAGAAGCACACGGATAATTATGCATATCCGTGCCCGCATCCTGCCTGTAATAGAAAGTTCAAAACTCAGAAATATCTGGACAATCACATAGGAAATATTCATTGTAGAGAGGAAAGCGACCAGCAGGTAAGTGACAGCTCGATGTCTTACCGATGTGACACCTGCGACATAAGCTTTCCTTCGATGCAAGAGTCGAGACGTCACTTCAGGGATATACACGGGCAACTCATTTTTGAGTGCGATTTTTGCCAGAAATTATTCAGCCAAAAAAGTAATTTGAAGGATCACATAGGACGGAACCACATGGACGATATCTATGCGTGTACTGAGACCGGCTGTGATAAAAAATTCAGAGCGGTGCGAGATCGGGATAAACATATACGAGATGCTCATAAGAACCAGGAGGAGAAGAAGGAAAGCGGTAGTCCGCAACCGGGACCGTCCTGGAAGAGTGACACTCCCAAGAGCGGCAAACATTCCAAAAAGATCAGCAAAAAGAACGTAAGAGCGCCTTACTCATGCAATATCTGCAAAAAAGGTTTTAATAAGACAGAAGAGTTGAAACATCATCTCAGTGCCGATCATGGACAAGATATGCTCTGCTGCGAAACATGCGGTTTCACATGTAAAACTAAAAAATCATTGGACGAACACACAATACGAAAGCATACGCATTAGCACAAATATATGTGTGATGAGGAAGGCTGCGGCAAGAAATTCAAACTCGAGAGGGATATGACGAGACACAAAAGGGAGAATCACTCGAATAAGCCGTACACGTGCAAAAAATGTGGTCATGTAAGTTCTAGTTTGTCAGAGCACCGTGCACACAAGTACATACACTTAAAAAGAAAGGTAGCCTGTCAAATCTGTGGGAAGAAGATATCCAATCACGAATTATCTGCACATTTAAAGAGACATGGTGAGAAGACATTTGCTTGTTCTACCTGCGGTAAGAAGTTTCATAGGGGAACACAATTGCAACGGCACAGGTTAACTCATTCGCGTCAAAGACCCTATGCCTGCAACATTTGCAGCGCGGCGTTTATGGAGCGACAGGCTTTAGACACTCACAGGAGGGACGAACATCCCGATGCATCTCCAATCGAATAGAACGAATCGATATCATACATATATTGTTGCAAAATTTCTAGAAAAATCAAGAACATTCAGGTTACTAATCAGGATTAGAGAAGATATAATATGTACGCGACGAAACAGTTTGTATTTAAGTTTACATACGCACACACAACAAATACGCGCTTCAACACACACATACTTAAACACAAACACGTACAGATCCATAATGTTCATGGTTGGTGAATATTTCAAAACAGATTTCTTTATAAAAATATGTATTCAGCAATTTTTAAATTGTGATTTTGTCCTTGAATGTCTGTTCGTAATAATCCTACATTTTCTATATACTCTTACATGTATGTGTGTGTGTGTGTGTGCATCGAGTGCGTGCACGCGCGCGTAGATGTATGCACGCACGCACATGCTCACACCCAGTTTTCTATGTAAAATAATAAGAATAAATATATAGAGAAGTATATAGAGATAAGTTGAAGGATGACTATATGACGTACGTTATACATATGTGTTTTACTTGTATGTTGAGCTGAGCATCATGTTGAAATTTTATTTGTGTTTAATAAGATGAAAAAATGTCATATTGTATTTGTAATATTTTAAAAATAATCTAAAACGTTGACACACGTGAATATTTACATGTTCCAGTAAACACGAATTATGACAGTGACAATTTTATCAATGTCATAATATTTTACTTAATAATGTAATTAATATTCGATATTCCACTTAATAATAATACTTAATAGTAATACTCTGAAAGCAATTTAAGTCTAATATGTTATAAATTATAATTATCGTTTAGCAAGGCATTGTGACATTGATATTATTTTACTACAATAGTTTGTCCTTTGACTGGAATATATTAATATACATATTATAATATACATATTATAATATCGATATGTTGATATTTATGTGTTACGTTTATATTTATTCTTAGCTACATTCCATCTTTAACCGTATATAATTATGTACATTCTCTCGAAAAATTAATTCTGTTTAAAAAGCAAAAAGAAAATACATTTAATTTTTATGATTGATTACTAAAATGTGAACATACATTTGCTTTCATCAAATCTGTGCAATAGCATTCTCCCGTTATGAATATATGTAATGATTATATGTATACTTATATTACATGTAACCTCAAGGAATCATGTAACATCAAGTAACAGGCACATTACATTAATATTCATCTGTTCATTCAATAATGTAATTGTTATTGCAACGTATATTTTATATTTATATTTTATTACTATTGAATAATATATATAACACTATATTATTATACATTCATATTATTAAATGGAAAATTAAAACAATGATTTGATATTATTGCTGGCTCGTTAGGTTATTAGTATTAGATAGTGACAAAGTTCATGTACTATAATTTTTATCTAGGATATCTGCGGTATTTTTTGTATCGTGTTTCTAAAGATATTCATATTGCTGCGGATTTTCCTATCGTTTTTTGGACTGAGATTTCAATAAATCTATATTTTAATATATTTTTGTTATATTCATTAATTCTTTGCGTGTTTATGAGAAACCGGCGTATTAAATAAAATTTGTATAAATATTCAAAATCCTTGAATCCTTTCCATACAACGCTCTGAAACATTTCATAACATGTCCATCATCATTGTTAAGTCTCCTCTACAACATTATTATGATTTTTCGGAGTCAAATGTCCGACTTATGTGCATTGGATTACTGGCTATCATAATGAGGCTTCATGAATCTACTATCGGTATTGGGGCGAGAAAAATGATCATGTCGCATCAATATTCGTCATATATCGACTGTTGTTACGTTGTATGATATTTCTCTCAGTAAATTATACTGCTTTGATTAATGCAGTATTATTACACGGAAATAATGTACAGTGTCGCGCAAAAATTTCGAGCCATAGTGTCTTTTTAAGATACATGACAATATATTGATTTGCTCTAAAAATTAATTATATAAAATAATTGACATAACATTCTTACAAATGATAGTACAGTTACAAAATTTTGAAAGTACATAGTTTCTATTTATTTAGTCATATAATATTTAAATGTGTTCAAAAGTATTGAGCCGTATTCTTATTGTGACTTTATGAGCCCGGTTTGTTTACGTTTCTTATGAAACTTCTTCGTAAATATTTGCTTTAACTAAGGTTCAGTTTATTGTCTACCGCAATGCCGAAACATACAAGCCTTCAGTTACGCGAAGCCGTGATTAATCTTTCTCAGCAAGGAAAGGTTTCTCGCGAAATTGCTTATTGCTTATTAATTGATAAAAGTATGGTAAATAGGATTATTGCTAAATATAAGTTGACGAACTCTTTAGCTGATAAATCACGAAATGGTAGACTTCGCAAAACTACAAAGCGCGTCGATAAAATGATTAAAAGAAAGTCGATAGCAGATGTTAGGAAAGCTACTCAGGATATTTCTCGAGAACTACGAGAAGAAAATCTTGCTGATGTAAGTCGAAGTACAATATCTTGACGTCTAAAGGAAGGAAGTAGGACTTTTAGGACGCGTTGGTGTAAAAGAACCATTAATTAATGCAAAAAATAAGAAAGATCGGTTAGATTTTGCAAGGAAATTTGAACATTGGACTGAAGTTGATTGGCGAAAGGTACTTTTCTCTGACGAGTCAGAGTTTCAGTTATTCGGAAGTGACGGTAGAAAATATATACGATATTCAACAGGCACAAGATATAACTCAAGATATCAAATTCCGAAAACCGTAAAACATGGTGGAGGTAACGTGATGGTTTGGGGATCATTTTCTTATAATGGAGAGAATTGGTCCATTAGTTGATATCATATATTGACGCAGCATATGCTGCCATATGCAACTCGAAACATGCCACGTGATTGGATTTTTCAACAAGATAACGATCCCAAACATTCATCAAAACTAATAAAAGAATTTTTTATCATGAAAAAAATGCGGGTCCTTGACTGGCCCTCGCAATCACCGGACTTGAATCCTATTGAGCATTTGTGGCAATAACTCAAACTACGTACAGGAAATAAGGTACACTCCAATACAGCTGAAATGTGGCAAGATTTGCAAACTCAATGGCAAAATTTACCTCAAGATCGCAATTTCTAATTTAATAGCATCAATGCCTCGCCGTTGTGCTGCAGTGATCGCTTCTAAAGGCATGGCAAGAAAGTATTAAGTTTAAATAAACGATGACAACATTTTCTGTTATCATTTTTCAATAATATATTTTCCTTATGCATAAGAAAGCTTTTTGGCGCAATACTTTTGCACTGTCTGTAATAAGACATTGTCTAAAAATAAAGTATCTGTAATTATTAAGAGTTTGTAAAGTTCATATAATTGTAGGATAAAGAAATACATTTTGTTTATATATATGTGTAAAGTTTTTAAGTTGTTTAATATGTTTAATATGTTTAATATGTTTAAAGTTTTTAATGATCATTATGAAATGAATATATAATAATAATTGTATGGCTCGAAAACTTTTGCGCGCCACTGTAGGTGTAGACAAAGAATCGAAATGTACTATTATCGAAAAATTATATTTACTGTGTTTCATCAGTATACTTGTAATTTAAATTAAAACTGGAACGACGGTGGACAAAAGACATAAGGCATCGGTTATGGCCAGGCTTTTGTTTATATACATCTTATGACCATTGCTCGTCACGTGTCAAACATCTGTCCATGAGAGCAGTTAGATTTGTCGCGGAACAAACGCAACATAAATAGTATTAGAAGACACGTTTCCACAGTAATATATAATATCAGTATATATAAATGTTTGAAGAAAAGAAATGACACGCTATACGGGTTTTGTGCGTAATATTACAACAGTATATGCCACAAAACATTAATCAAATATAACATAGTTATATAGATGCTGGTGATTTAATAAAGAGAGTGTTGAATACATGGCTAGGATATAATAACGTAGTACAATATATGAAAAAATTATATTGATAAGTGGAAAATTATAATTAACCGGCAAATTATAGAAAACGCTCATGTAATATTATTTATAACATTCAGCGTATTTCATTTCTATAGCATTAATTTAGCTTTGTTTGCAAGGCAATAAATATGTTGTAATGTACAGTGAGCATTAGAGGAATACATATACAGAGTATCTCAGAACTTTGACATACGGGCTCCGTAAGGATATAGAGCTAAGTGAGAGGAACAAAAAAGTCCTTTGACATAATGTGAAAATCGTAATAGGTTTTTAATTATAACAGCGCAAAGTTAGGCGTTTTCCATGCCCAGTGCGGCCTATAGATGCTCCGCGGCAAGCTGTGTGCGTAGAGGCTGAGCGGTAACGCGGCTGTACGGAGCCCGTGTGCCAAAGTTCTGAGACACCCTGTATATTATACCATAAGCATGAGTTACTAAAACATCGTCACAATATTACATAAGATCACCACGTATTTCTCGGTCGTTGAAATCAACCTATACAATATAAAAATACTACACCGATATTATAATTAATATTAGAAAAAGATTTCCAATAATGTTTCTTTGTAAAAATTGTGACAATGTTATCATGATTTTAAAATGTTACTCCAGCAGAATATTACATACGATATTATTACATACAAACATACCTGTTAGTTTCCTACTCAACAATATAACTGTTATACAATACATGTGTTGCATAACAGTTACATTGTTAAATAGAAAATTACAACTAACAGGTATGTTACATGTTGTATTGTGTTTGCTACGACTTTCCGGGAACCTTTATGAATGTTAAATCTAAATGTTAATATAAGATTTGCTAAAATATTAAATTTAATGTTTCTTGTACTGAAATAAATATCATTTCAATACCATGGACATGTTAGGATAATATTAAGCGTGAAGGGAGAGAAAATGTGTACCTTTTGCATTTAGTTTGACAAAAAAATTCACATCTTTTATTTATGCGTTTTATTTAAATGTTGTTCCTTGAACATTGCATTATATTTTTCGGATCAAACTGAACACAAATTAGAAGTACAGCAAATAATCATCTTACAAAGGTAAGGCCAGAAAAGGGAACGCCATTTCTGCATGAAACCTACACCAAATTGTAGAATTCGATGAGCAATTTCCAAAACACCCGGTTTTGGGCGTTTTCAGTGCCTCTTCCTGCCGCGCGGTCCGCTCACCGACGGTGCGACAAAGACGAAGAGCGATTGATCGTCTGTGCTTGTCTAACTTACTATTTTCCTTAAGGAAGTAGATCTGTCTGTTCTTTTTAGCTGCACTGCGGAACTAGTGCAATAAGTTAGAATGAGACAACTATATTTTTTCTCACTTTAACTTATTGCACCAGTTCAGTAGTGCAGCTAAAAAGAACAGATCAAGAGTAAACAAGAACCGTACATGCTTTGCCGTTATCATCAGGACGAGCGATAGTGTGCATACATTTTCTCAGGTGGCGCGTCGAAAAAAGCGTTCCGGCGTAACCGATCCGATGGCCGCTCTCAAGTTTCTCTCTGGTTCAGGTTGGTTGTGTTAGGAAGTTCACGAAAATGGCTGGTAAGGCTGCATCTTCTGTTCGACAAGTGAAACCCATTTTGTCTGTTAACAAGGAAGATGCACGTCGAAAAGTGCTCATGCTATATAAAGCATGGATTCGTGAAGTACCGCAAATGTGTGAGCAATATTTATTAACATATATTACACAGTACTCACCTTTCGCCTTTGTCACTTAACCTGTACGAGATGATTGGATTGTATATATTCCTTATATTATATTTTCACCTATTCATAATCCTGTAGTTTATCATGTTTATGATATAAATTGTTGTATTATTAATATATTTGTTCAATGTTCTTAATTTTGCTTTATACTCTTTTATTTACATAAAGTCAGTTACTATTTTAACATACAACAGATCATTGCTTATCTATTTTAAGATATGTATTCTTTTGCAGTATTATATTATGATATTCCCAAAAATGAAGCAGATTGTAAAAAGAAAGTACGTGAAGAATTTAAACGTCATGCTCATCTAACTGATCTAAGGATTATAGACCGAGTTATTATAAGAGTAAGAACACACAGATAATATAGAAAAATACTTTCATAAACAGATATAGGAGTAAGATGAGCCAATTTTAGTCATTTAAATGCACAATAGAAAGATTTAATTAAAGACTAACAGAAGTTCAAGAATGTTACTTTAATTATTTAATGGTTAATAATGGTATTGTTATATAACATTAAACAAAATTAAATATTTTAATAGGGTCAAATGGAGTTACAGGAAGTAGGAAATATATGGAAACCTAAAGGACAGCTTATGACTTATTGGCAGGAAACAGTGGAAAAGAAGCCAACTGATTTCTTGTCAAAATTTTTTAAGGGTCATGACTGACTTATTCAGTTTTTGTTAGTTTTTGAAAGTTATTTCTCTGTATTTTAGAAAAATATAAAAATTATATGTATATATATGTAATATGTAAATATATAACTTAAAGAAAATAATGGATATTACTTTCAACAGTGTATTATGTATTTAAGGTGTATTAAAAGGAGTTCATATAAAATATGAGAAGGTACAGATAAGTACATCATCTCTAGACAAAATCCGTAATTTACATAAAGAAATATATTTCTTTTATATTAGAGAAATTAATATTAATAAAAATAACCAACAATTTGAAAAGGTGAATCTTTAATTGACTCTTATAGAAGACAATATTTCTTTTAATTTACATTTTATCTGTACATTGATATATTATTCAGTTATATACATTTAACAACATGATATATTATTAAGCACCTTAGGTACGATCTAGTTCACTTTTCACAGCCATACAGATAATTTGCTTCCTTCAGTGAACATATATAATTAAAGATAGATACTAAAGATACCATTATATATATACACATACATACATAGAATACATATACATACAGTTATGTATGTACATGTATATATATATAATATCAATATTATATATATATATATATATATATATAATATTAATATTATATTATACAAGGTGTTTCAAACCACTTGTCCAATCCTTTTATCTTAAAAATGATTAAGAAGTTAGGAAAATACATTTACCACAAAAGCCTATTTGAAGTTTCTGATGCTAATATTTTCACTTTTGGGAAACTCCTGGAAATACTCCCAGAAACCGAAAGCACTTAGAAAATTTTAAATAGCAACATGGAGCAATATGAATATCGTTGGATAGAGTTTTTAAAAAGAAACAACTTTTGCTTGAAAATAAATTTAATATCATTCGGAAGTGAAAAGATAGTTACAGATGATCAATGTGTCTGCCATCTCGATGAATATATTTTTCCATAATTAGCCGAGACTAATCGTCCGTGCTTATCTGTATTACGATCTGTTTGACTTATCTGTATTACGATTTGTACAATCTGTATTACGGATCTGACTTATTATGTTGTATGTTTATCATGTTTGAACCGAACGATATGAAATGGCGAATTTAAGAAGTTTGCCATTCTTTAAATTCTGCAGAAATCCGGAAGGCTGTCGACAGCGTGAGACAAAGGATGGAAAGGACATCTTTATTTTCTATCCTTTGCTCGGGAGGTTTCTCAAAGCTTTCTTAAAAATGAGAGTACCACCATCATAAACTTCAGATAAATTTTTACGGTAAACACGTTTCCCCAACTTTCTAAATAACACCCCTTTTCGAAATGAAAGGAGTGGACGGATGATCTGAAACACTCTGTGTAACATATATAATAGTATTAATGGTACTTGGATTTACATATGTATTAATAGACGTATTATACATATACACACATCTTATACGCCCATACTGCATGTTGATTATGCGCGCGCGTGCATGTACGCGATACCGTCCTAATTCCTTTCTTCATATACCACGTTAAACCAAATAGATCGGCGCTTGATCTAAGTGTCTATACTTTGGTCATGATTTTTGTAAAATAGTCTAGTGTTTCTTTTTTCCACGCTATACACACTCGAATTAAAAATCTTAAAGAGAACAGTCCTGTGCTACATAAAAGTCGCTTCCTGCATCACCTCGATAAACACGCTTTCTGTTTTGTTTTTAGTATAAGTTATAAAATATCTAGATATTAAAAATATACAATATCGGTAACTTTCATATACATAAATTGCACATAACTAAGCTAGAAAAAAAGATGGCAACAATAACTCATGCTTATGACTCGTAAACGTAACATGCTCCACGTTAGTTACGCAGTTTCTTTCCCGTTCCCTCGCACCTGCGGTTCTATTTCTCTCGCTTACCGTTGTCGTAGAAGAAAAGAAGAAAACAAAAAAAAATAATAAAAAAAAGGAAAAATAAAGAACATCCGTCGAACGATGCGCTAGACTATACTTTCGCGCTCGGGTTGCATCTCGTACCGTTCCATCCCTTTTCCTAAATAGACTTCGCTACTGCGCAATCCAGTACCATTGAACAGATTAACTAGCCAACTTCTAATCGAATTTCGCGCGGAAGACTTTTTATCAGGTACACTGTCCGTGCTAGGCCCGGATATTTCCTGATCCAGTGAGCGCCAGCGTTTGATCGGTAGTATCTCTCCCATGCAGCCGCCTTCGTCGCTTAATAAAGGCATCTCGGCTTCGTTCGGAGAGTTACCGGTGTGAGGCACAATTATCACATTACCGTTAGGATGATTATTATCCAGCACTTTTTCGGAAATGTCTATTTTCGAATTGATTTGCGTGAACTTGACACAATTCTCTAACGAGCAGAAGATCTTCTTGGGCTCCTTCCAAGAGAGGCTCGGCGACTCGAACTGCTTGTTGTACATGTCGCAGGGAAATGGGTCGAGCGAGCGAGATTCGCGAATAACAAGTTGAGACGGATAGTCGCTCGTTGACGACGAGGACGCGATGGTGGATAAACGCGCATTTTTTCTGAATTTCGGTCCCGTGTCCGCGAGGAAGTCGTCGAAAGCCATCTTGATTTCTGCAGCGCGTTCCTGTGCCTCCTCCATAATCGGCACGTTGTCTATCGTGGTCTTTGAGATGCTCTTAGCCAAGGACAACCGCGATCCTTCGAATTTAGGCGCGTGAAACGATCGCGGAACTGGGCTGGAGCCTCCGCACTGCGACGACGAGTCATCCGCTAGCAGACGCGGCACATTCGACTGCCTTCTTCGTGGTGTGCAGAACAGCGGTGGCAGATCGCCTACGTCAACCTGCAAATACGTAAGCAAGTAATGTCATCAAGCAAAAGAAAAAAAACTCGTGAAGAGAAATTGATAGAATAAGACTATATTAGAGTACATCATTCTTTCTCAATGATAATCTTCGTACAAATCACGAGATTACTCGATATTGGAATTTAAAAAAAGACCGACGAATTTGCACGTTGAAGAATAGAAATAAGCGTGCACTTGAACCACATATTTAACGCAGAATTGAAGAACTCGTCAAAGAATCTGAAGAACTGCCGCACGAACCTCTCGTTTTTGGATGGCTTTCTCGGTGGCTCCCGTGAGCCAATATGTCTTCACTTCCCCTTTGCCCTTCATATGTACGAAGCCACGCTCTTCGATGATGTACCCTCCGATCTTGTCGAGAGCGTTCTTGCACTGCCCACTTATATGTATTCGTAACGGCTCTCCGTTGGATTCCATGCGAGACGCGGTATTCACTGTGTCTCCGAACAAGCAATATCTGGGCATCGTTAGACCAACCACGCCCGCTACCACGGGACCTATAATTTCATGGGCACATCAGTACAGTCTTCGCCGATTCATTCTTCCATAATCATTATTGATAGATATTGTGTAGATATTCTACGCATCATATCTCACCCGTATGAATGCCGATGCGCAGCTTGAGGGTTTCGTGAGGTCGATGAGCTATTGTGTGCTGTTTAACAGCGTTAAGTAATTCCAACGACATCGACGCTATCTCGCCGGCATGCCTGTCACCGTTTTTTATCGGAAGACCGGAGACCTGAGCGCACACAATGCTACGTATTAAGGTGCGATTCCATCGCGTGATTAATTAACTAATTATCGCACAAGAAAGGCTACTTACGACCATGTAGGCGTCTCCGATCGTTTCTACTTTATATACGTCGTATCCTTTGATTATACGATCGAACAAGGTATACAGATCATTCAAGAAATTTACAACCTGCCGGCACGATTTATTAAGTCACCGTGGATAACGAATATGATTTTCGTCCTACCAATACAGATAGAATGCAAAAGAAGTAAATACCTCAAACGGTGTGCTCTCCGCCGACATCGCCGTGAAGCCGACGATATCGCTGAAGTATATAGTGACCAGATCAAAAGCCTCGGGCTCTACTCCGATACCGTTCGTTAGACGATTCGCGACGGGCCTGGAAACAAAACGTAGACTCATATCTCATGAGCGCTCGCGTCCACGCTAGACTCCGCTAGACTGTTGTCGACGAAGGTAAACCAACTCACTTAGGTAACATTCTATGCAGCAGGTCCTCCGTTTTCTGTTTCTCCTCGAAAAGAAGGCGCGTACGCTCACTGACTAGATCTTCGAGGTTGTTCGCGTATGTCTCCATCATGTGCATCATTTGGTCCATTATGTTTTGATTCGTTCCAGCCTTCATCGCCATTAACCGACTCCTTATCACCTTGAAGTCTGGCCTGAGGTTCGGATCTTCGTCCCAGCAGTCCGTAATAGTGTTCACCACGTATTCGGCGCAGTCCGCTTTAGACTTGGTGAGCACGTCTATATCAGGTCTGAACGGCAGTTTCTTCTTGTCTTCTTCTTTTTCTTTTGGGTTGTAGTTCTTTACTCGTTCGATAATGTCTGCCGATGTATCAAATGATCACGTTTACTTCGTTGATGGCCCTTCACTATCGGTCGCGACGAACGACGGTCGTTATCGGCCTCGTGAATTGTGATAGTTACCTTTGGGGTCCATAGTTATACCGTACGGTCCTTTTCGCCCGATCATTTCAAAAAGAATAATAGCGAAAGAGTAAACGTCTCCCTTCTGCGTGCCCCTAATCGCGTTATTTGGTTCTCTCAATAGCTCGGGAGCCTTCCAAAGCAAGTCTGAAAAAGAAGGTAAGATAAAGATCTACGAAACTCTGAAGGTAAACGAATACGAGGCAAAAAATACAGACTAATAAGAGTTGTGTCGTTAGATTTTTCGTGAAATAATAACTAAAACGACATATATCAGCTTAATTGTATAGAAAAGTAAAAGATAAAAGATTCGCGTACTTTGATAATACTGATGTTCACCGATGCTGCCGGATTCGGCGCAGTGACGCATATCATGAAGACCGAAATCAGAAACTTGGAGTACCCAACGTGAAGTTACAACACAATTGGAAGACTTCAGATTACCATGACAGACTAGTACAGGTGAATCATGAATGTACAGCATACCCTGTTCAGGTAGAAGTCATTTCTAAAATCACCTTACAATATTGTGGTATCTCTTTCACTTCTTTTGCTTTAAAAAAAACTCACCTTAATGAGATCGTGAACTAACGACGTAATGAACATATTATCTAACTTGATATCTTCGTTTTCGATAATGTCCTGAAAAAACAAAAAGTGTGACATATAAAGTATTCATAATGAGCACATTTAATTTTTTCTCTCTTATAATGGCTTTGATTTTCAGAGAAACGAGAAGGTACTAAGCACTACAGAATACATAGTTTTTACTTATGCTTGCTAACATATATTGTTCTTTCATACAATATGCTATATTACGGATAATAGTAGAACATCACCGTGATTACGTTACGACACGTACATAAAGACTTCCTTTGGCACAATACTCGGTAAGTAACAATATCCTCATCGGTTCCACGCAAGCTCCGATGAAAGAGTTGAGATTATCATGTCTAATTTCACGGAGGATGCGCAATTCCTTCATGTCATCCCGTGAAATGTCTTTTTTCTTCGAGAACTTCAGCTCCTTTATTCGCACCACTACACCGCGGTAATGGCCAGTCTGCGCGAACACCTGACCGCCGCATTTTGACTCGTAGGACATTGCACTAACTAAACTTAACTGCAATGAAAAAGTAAGTTTAGGACTTTACGTATTATCTGGGGCTCTTTTTCTTGGTAACGCTATAGATATGCTTTTCCAATTCTCATGCTGAAACGTTTTACGTTACGTAGAAGAGAAAATCGAAGTTTGAAATTAGAAAAGCCTTAGCGCTTGCCATACGTTCAAAATAAGACTCACACAAACGCAGATTATTGCAAAGTCAATAAAACGCACTGTGCTAACGCGCAAGATTGGGAGTTACTTTGTAAAAGTATCTAATTACAGTTGCAGTTTTTTTCACTGAAAAAACTGTATTTAGTTACAGTTTCAAAAATAACATGTTACAGTTATAGTTATTTAGAAGATAACGAGTCGTTACTTTTCAGTTACTTTTTTACAATAATAGTGCCATTATTTTGAATTTCGTAATTGTATAAATTCCTTCAATTTTCAATACAAAAGTAGTTTGTTGATTATTATATTCCTCGAGTATTGTATATAACTTTTACAAATTAAATTCATTCATTTAAATAAGCAATTCATATTTATTCTTTAAGACTATTAATAATAACTGAGCAGGAAAATGCCGAGTTGTTCTCGTTTCCAAGTTTTTGCCGTAACTCGAATATTTCTCCATATGCTGGCCATGGCATTTTACAATTCTTCTCCGAAAATTGAGATGTTTTATCCATTGAACTTTTTATATAACTGAACGCATGCATTGAACCATGCAGAGCACTTCACGCTGAACGCAGGTTATGTTAATAAATAAGGACTGGCGACGCGCGACGGAAATATCCAATAGGCGTACAATTTTTTTTAAAGAAATACAGATTGCGTTCGGAAAGGAGACTATCAGCATCATTTTATCCTTGTTTTACATTTAATAAAGGATAAAAATAGATAACGCAATAGCACGTTTTCCAAATGCAGCCAGGATAACTGAATTGGATATCAAGCATCGCGTTATCATGCTGGTGCATGGCCAGAAACTTAAATTTGAAATATATAAAGTAACTATTAAAGTATTAAATTAAGTACTAGTTTAGTACAATTTTTACCATTTATAATTAAATTAGTTACTAGTTATCAAACAAATGTAATTAAGTTACAATTATAGATAAAAAAACTGAACGAAGTTCCGTTAAGTTATAGTTACCAAAAAAAAAAGGACTATAACTTGTAACTTTGTTACAAGTAACGAGTTACTTTCCAATCTTGTTAACGCGTTACTCTCACCTTACTAGGGGAGGACATCATGTTGTCCAGATGCGGACTGTGTATCTCGCTCAAGTCAATCCTCCAGAGCAATCCCTCTATCTCCTGCTCTATCTTCCACTTCCGATAAATGCTGATAGTGATCGCCGTAGCACATATCACCAAAACACCCAGCACACCAGCGGCGATGATGCTGTGGTGATGCGTGTCTTTCTTCGGACAGTGCTCGTTGAAAAAACCGCAACCGGGCTCGGCCTCTGGCTTGTTCTTACCAGGCCAATCCATGGCTCCTGATGGCCTGTACACCTGAATTATGCAATCGTGTCGTGTCTTTATTACTCGGCGCCATCGCAGCATGTTCGAGTTCGTTTTACGCTTAGATGATTTAAATGTGGATTACGATTTTTCGCACTTAAGACCCGCCGTGAAAAAAACTCTCTGGAATGCTACAAACAACTCACTCACTAGAGTTTCACCCTGCTGGAACTGGCCCACAGGCTTCATCTGGTAGTCGCAGGTAAAGTTGTTGAGCTGAAAAGGCTCTTTCTTCAGAGCGAGCACCGAAAAGTTACCCTCCGAGTCGCCGAATTGGTCCAACTTGATGATCGCGCCGCTCACACCTACAAATGCAAGAGAGCATGTTGTTTTATACCTCCTCTGAGAAGAACGTGATCTTCTTCAGCCGGTTCAGCTTGAAGAAGAAGCGAAATGTCTGCAACGTTCAGGCGAAAACGGAGTCTTCGGATCTCTACTTCAGAGTCACATCGATCGGCGATATTTAGATTGGAATCGGCCTCTTGTCGTTTATCATTGCCGCGTCAAGTGGCGAAGATCGTACGAACTACTTGAGACATTAATCTTATCGATACAAATTACATCTGTTATAGATTATAACATACTTTGATATGTATGATTCTTGATAATCGTCTCGATTATCCGAGAACCGTTGCCGGCGATCTCCATTAACGTTTGATTCGGTTGATCCCGTAGCAGCTGGTCCAGGGCCCTCGCGTACAGCAGGACAGAATCGTACAGATAGGCCGCGTGAATAGATACGTACTGGAACGTAAATGAAGCATGTAACGAGAATCACGACGCGGTTCGTACGAGCGGGTTCGTCGCGGGAAAGAGAGCCGGCAGCGTGTGCCGAAAAATAATACCTTCTCGAACTTTTTCAGGAGCTCAGGAGTCATGAAGTTGAACGGCTTCTTCGAATTGTATTCGCGCACCTTCTTCGTGAACACCTCGTAAACCTGTGTCGGCGGCGACGATACGACCACCATCAGCGAGCGTGCCTTCTGCAGAAAGTTCTTTGGCTCGAGGCAATTTTTCAGGATACTGAAGTGCTCCGGTTCTGCCGACAGGAAGTTGCGAATTATCACGAGCGAATGCAACGATCATCTTGGCAAGTTAGAAATTGCAGCGTGAAAAGAATTCGGGTCAATTCGCACGCATGAATATATGTTCAGTGATGTACTCATCTTCAGACATCAATTTAGACTTGAATTTACTAAGATACTGACTACGTAATTAAACTATAAATAGCGCGACATTACGATACATGTAGTTCTACTGGTCACTCATGTTTGTTATCCAAGATATAAATATCACACTTGATAAGAAGCCTCTCTCTCTCTCTCGTTCCAGATCTACTCACTCCACAAATATTTCTGTGCCTCACGCGGCGAATACGTCATCATGTCCACGTGGATCACCATGTACTCCCCGTTGTCCAGCAGCTTTTGGTTTTGCATCGAATTCATCATATCTATCAGTGACATTGCCGTACCCAGGAAGATGTAAACTGAAGTAATAAGCGTCAACACATTTCGGATTGAATGGAGCGAATGGATTCACCGCAATGCACCTGCTTCTTCTCTCTCTTCATGCAAGCCAAGTTTATCTACCTCCTCTCTTTTCTTTAATAATACTCGACGTGTATGTAAGAACGCAAGCGAGCGAAAGCCTACCGTATCTACACGCGAGTCATTGCGAGTAAGTGCGCTTGTTGTGCAGCTAAGTCGAGAGCAGAACGCAGAGCGGAGAAACGCGAGCAAAGCGCTGCACCCGGGTTCGAAATCGACGAGATCAATGCCGGATCCCAAGAAACGGTCGCCGCGAGTCGCCGATTTCCTCTCGCGAAGACTCGTCGCGAAGATCAGCGAGTCCGTCGATCAGATTGATTGACCTATCGACCGACTGACCGACGAACCGATAATCGCGGCGGCCGTCTCTCGCGAGAGCCGACGCAAACGTAAAGAAATGTGGACTGACTGCGGGTCATATTTTTCGTCTCCTGTATTAGTTGGAACCATACGGGGACTTCGCAGCAGGCCATCCTCTCCTCGCAACACGTATGCCGGTCCTCGACGATCCTGTAGTGGTTGACGGTGAGGTTGTTCTCGTGCGCCTGGTATTCCAGCGAACGGGCGACCGTCGACCAGGCCCTCTCGGCCACGATCGTGAATTTGTTCCATCCGTAGTGCAGCAGCAGGGCGATCACCGACTTGGTCACCTGCGTATCTGGCGGCTCGGTCCTCGCGAAGGTGTTCACATTCGAGGCCTTGTAGTCCGAGCATTTCTGTAACAAGCAATCGTCACTTCGTACACACGCTGGCGATGCGTTGCTCAACAAACTCTCTTCTGCCCCCCCCTCCTCCTCCCCCGCTGCTCCTCCTCCTCGCGAAAATTTCCAATCGCCGCAGCAATTCTTCCTCTCTCCTCTCGCCCCGACAACGCGTGAGCGAACCTTATTTTTAATCGACCCACTTCGTCGCCGGCCCCGCCATGAAGTAATCGTTTAATTCATCGAACCGCAAGCCGGGATTCATTTAGCGTCGCGTGCGACGAAATTCAGTTCGCCACGTCCGGTCTTCGTCCTTTCACCGGACTCATCTGTCCGGCCAACAACACTTCTATCCGACTAGATTTTTTGGTCAGGTACGCCTAATATTGATAAGGACCTGATAGGGCGAATGAAGGGTAATCCTAATTAAGTCAGCCCTTATAAAGTTCTGATGACAATTGAGTAAGGAAGACCTTTATAAGGTTATAATGATTGGGTTCATATTAGGATCTTAATATATCAACCTAGTATATGATATAATAAGGTTTAGCTGATCGAGTCTGTGTCGGGATTCTTACTCATTGTACCTAATATGACTTCAAGTTTTCATTATCCAGTTTTAACAAAAACCACTTGTAGTTTATTGTACATGTATATAATGTGAATAACAATATGAATACGGAAAAAAAAAGAAAAACATAATAAAGATTCAATAAGGTAACTTAATAAGGTAACTTAATAAGGACTTAACTATGAATTCTTAATAAGGTCCTAATATCTACGCTGCGTTACATGACTTACTAGGACTCGATAGTATTATCTTATCGGGACCTGATGTCCATACAGAGATTAACCTAATCAGGACCATGAGATAAATTTCTAGTCGAGTACGTGCGATCGCGTCGGGGTGTCCAAAAGCGTGATCTTAATCGACGCTCGTCGATCATGACCACTCGCGCATAGTACGTGGATGTTTTTCTATCCGAGAGACTGACCCGCATATTCCAGGTACGCGATATCGCTCGACACAATGCCAATTAGGCAGCCACGTGCAATTTTACCGATCGCGCGCGCAGACGGCGTGTCGTTGCATCCGCTTATCGTCGTCCTGCGCGGCCCCGGCGATTTCTTTCGGCGTAACCGTAACGTGGGAGGAGACCGCGAGTCCGCCCTTTCCTTGAAAGTAAACGAGCGCACGCGTGTACGTAAAACGCGTGCGTGGTGTGCAGCACGCACGAGCCGGGCCCGCTGCTGGCGCAATGAAAACAAGCGTAGCCGCGGAGCAAGAGGAAGGACGACGATGACGACGACGAGAAGGTAGTGGAGGAGGAAGAAGACCGTCGCGATAGGAGAAAAGGGACGAGAAGAGCAGGACGAGGAGACCGAGAGCAGAGGAGTCAAGGAGCAAACGAGAGAAGGCAGAGGTAGAAGGGGGGAGGGGGAGGGGGGAGGGAGGGAGAGAGAGAGAGAGAGAGAGAGAGGCCCAGAAACGGAGATGCACCAGGAGTAATGCAGCAAAGTGGGCTGCGTCGGGTGCCATGGTGTGTGGCGCGGTTAAATATAAACCCGTGGCTGCACGAAGGAGGGCAGGAGAGAGAAGTGGAATGAACGGAGCGACTCTCTTCTCCTCTCTTCACCTTTCTCGGCGCGCGAGCACACATACACGAGGAGATGCGCGCGGAGCAGCTGAAATGTGACATACGCTCCTCATTAACATATAAATTAAACGTGACAGTCGGTCCTTCTTTAACCATAGCGACCACCGCCGCCGCCGCCGCCGCCGCCGTTGATCCTTTTCATTCTTCTCGGCTAACACCGCCACCGTCGCCAGTCGTCTTTGTTTATCTTTATCAGGGAATTCGGGATGCAGTGCGCGGTGACCTCGGCGCTTCGATCCGCAAGTGTCGTTTTTCTTTCGTCTATTTTTGCTTGATGAAAGCGCGACAAGACCCCAATAGCCCTTGGCCGACTTCGGAAACGCGCGGATGTCGGCCGAATCGTCGAATCCGGGACCCAGGAGGAAGTTGTCGAAAACAAACACGTGGCGACGAGAATCTATCAGGTGTAGGGGAAGTTCGGGCGAAAAGAAACACCGTAAATAATTTTGTCATTTTCTGTTACAAATAGTTGGCAATGTAGTGAATTTTCATGCTTTTCACGCATATGAGAGTGTATGGACGAAGGCTCAAGGTTTTACAAGGTAAATAATATTTTATTTATATTAAATTATATAATTTCGTGATTTAAAAACATTCAATTTCCATATTTCCAAACTTAATTTATATTTTAACTATTGCTCTCAGTGGAAGAATAATTCATACTTCAACAGATTTATTATATATCTGAATCTTGCCTGATTAGGTTAAATTGAGATTACGGATTCTTTTATTCGATGAATTTCGCAACATTGTATCGAGTGACTTCGAGCAAAAAGAACCGGGCAAAAGGAACCTGATGCCTTTTGCCCTGTACTAACAGAATAATGTAAAATAAGTTAATTTCTTCATTGCAGATTGTTTTTAATTATAAAAGAAAAACAGACCACGTCTTGGTCAGAGGAGTAGATGAGAAGAAGAGCCTTGGAATATCTATAAATAACAACAATTTGAAAATAAGAGAAGCATCAAGAAAGTATAATATTCTTTATCCCACTCTGAGAAGACATGTCTAGGACAGCGGAAAAAACTTTTGGTTCTAAGAAACAAGTTTTTGACGATGGAATGGAAAAGGATATAGTGCAATATATAAAAGATATGGACCTTCGATTTTACGACTTAACTAAATTTGATTTATGCACTCTTTTGCTACTTTTGTGCATTTGGTGGGATGCGAAAGATTATGTGGACCAATGAATCATAACGAATGGTGTTTTAGAAAGTTCAATACCAACCTTAAAAAACAAAACGGTGGGAAAATATTTCAATCTAAAATAATAACAGAGGGCTGAAGAAAAAATAAAACTTGCATACATCTAATAGTACGTTTGTCGGGAATTTTTAGGTGTCGCATAATAATAAATGGCGTTTTAGAAAATTCAATATCAACCTTAAAAAAACACAAAACGGCGGGAAAATATTTCAATCTAAAATAATTACATTAGAAGGCTGAAGAAAAAGACAAACTTTCACATACGTCTAATATTACGTTTGCCGAGAATTTTTAGGTGTCGCATAATGAATGGCGTTTTAGAAAGTTCAATACTAACCTTAAGAAGACCCAAAACGACGGGAAAATATTTCGATCTAAAATAATTACGTTACAGGACTGAAAAAAGTCTTTTGCATACACCTAATACTACGTTCGTCGAGAATTTTTAAGTGTCGTATATCGCTATTAGAGAACGCATCCACGCGATATCGCGCGCGCTCGCTTATTTTCGCTTGGGACGCGAATATTCCTTCCCCGCGTTTCTACGTTTTATTTGTTCCCGAGGAATTTCACACCGGCGCAACGATCTCCGTGTCCCTAATTTGCCAATCGCTCGTTGAAAGATTGCTGCAACAAGTGCAGCGCGCGTACATTGCGGATGTAGTGATCCAATCCTCGCGATGAGATAAGATTTAATGTCGCTAAAATCTGCTTAGATTGTTCACGCGAGCTATCACGTGGACAAAAAAAAGGGGGGGAAAGTTCGGAACAAAATTCCACATTCGATGCTCGCTCTTCGTTTCGCCAGTCCGCCTCTCTTCGACAATTTCCATACTCAGGACGAAGCGCTTGTTTTTCAGTCGACCGTCGCGCCCGATAGTATGACATATCATAAAAAAATTAGCTTACGCAGAAACTCACGTGCCGCGATATGAGTTACTCACTTAGGAGGAAGAAGAGGAGGAGGAGGAGGAGAAGGAGGACGAGAAAAGGAGGAGAGGCTAGTGGCCAGTTTTCCTACTAATAACTTCGTCCATCGGTAGGAGAAACCACATAATCGTAAGGTTCTGACGCGCGTGTGTGTGTGTGTGTGTGTGTGTTTGCTGGCCGAGAGTCGGCAATAAAAAAGGAGCGGAACAGATGAAAGAGAGGCGAAGAAACAGAGATTACTACGTTTACACAGCGATGTTAATCCGGTTTTGTAACAACCGTAGTTAGAGCAAGCTCTGCCATTTAATTGGAGTATAGATATTTTTAGATCTAAAAGAATACACACCAATCGGACGCGAGAAATCACTGACTACGTTGTTGTTGTTATTAACTCGGATTAAAGATGCCATGTAAACAGTCATTGACGGCAGAGAGGAACGGTTCACAGGTTTGTTTGTTTATCGGAGACTGGATCCTGGCTTTTTCCCCTGTCGCGTGCAGCTGATAAGTCCCCGGCAGACGAAACTAACTGGACTCGATGCTGCTCGGCTCGGTTGGCTTGTTTCGTAGACGAGAGACGCGGCTGAGACGCGCGGAGGAGACACGAGGGAGTTCTTCTAATTTTAGCGTCATGATCTTGCACGACTCGTCGCGTGTTCGGCCCAGCCGAATCGGAAAACTGATGTCTCGTTAGAACGAGTTCTCTCTCCCTCCCTCTGTTTCTCTCTCGGGAGGGGGGATCCGTATTCCTCACGCATTTGATCGTCGAGTGCGCTCGATTTCAGATTCTTTCGGTTATCTCTCGTACGGTGGAGACGTTCCGTGGCGAGAGCGTAAGGAGAGAAGCAAGCGAGTGAAGGAGCAACCACCTTGAGCGACGCGATGAGAATACACAAAACGGCGTATTTGACCGGCGCACTCTCTCGGTTTGGAAATCACATTTTCAGATCGCGCGCGCGCGCACGCGCTGGCGCATTCTCCGTTAACCCTTTAAATCCTGACGGTACTTATTAGCAGCGATTAGTGATTTAGTTTTGAAGATTTCGCAAGAGGTGGCACTAATGTCAGTTTTGTCAAAAACATTGCAATCACAGTTATTGTTTCTTAATACTTTAATATTAATCCATGGTGTTTAGCAATTTACTGAGAACAACAAATGCAGTAAAAATCGTGCTAACATCATCTTAAAAATAGAGCTTCCTAAACAGCATTTTCGA